TTTTTTTTTTTTTTTTTTTTTTTTTTTAAATGATTCACGTTGATGGAAATTATCCTTGCAGATCGATGATTATTTGACGCCTTGAAAAAAACGAGATCGGCATGAAGTACTTGAAAATCGTTCTGTTCACGTTCAACTTATTGATATGGGTAAAGTATATTAAGTATATTAAAGTATATTAATTATATCATTCATTGTAGAAAAAAATCGATCTATTTCTATGTTATATATCTAAAAAAAAAATGAAAATATCTTTTCACACGTAACGTTGGTGTATTTTACAAAGAGCTTTGATATTTTCTGATAAAGCGTAAACAAAGATAAACGCGCGTCGTAAAGTAAGAATATATGGTTGGCATATCAGTAAAGTCAATCACCTAGAAAGTTCAATAAACAGTGAATAAACTAACTCTGATATAGATTCTAATAAAAATTGCGATTACGAATTGCAGAAGTTGTTAATTTTCATGAAAAACGATCCGTTCGAGTAAAACAAATTTTTCAAAGGGGAAATAAGAGGACGGTGAAAAAGAATTGCATCGATTGAATAATAATAGAATTTCACGGGAAATCGGATGATCCGGAAATAGTATAACCGGTAATAAGATCGATTAATCGTTAAATCAGTTTGTTGAATCGCGAGTTTTCGACAAGCTAAAAGCTTGATGCTGATTTGCAACAGATGCAACTTAAGATTAATCCTTGAATAACACGGCATTTGTTTTAACGGGACGGAGTTGAGCGTTGATGAAATAAAAGTATTTAAAAAAAGACTTCGTTTAAAAAGCAGCGTATTATTTCGTTCGTGTTGTTAAAAGTATAAAATTTCCTTGAAATATACGATAGATAGGTTTTGTTTGCGCTTGTTTTTTTCGAAAATAATTGAAACGAATTGTATATTATTTTAAAACTTTATTTCAAAATAAATCGATATCGAAGTAAAATAATTTCTCGCTTATTTTTATTTCGAATGAAATATCTCCATTTGTCACATGAATATTTTTAAATTACGATCAAATATATGACGACGATAAACAATGCATGATATTTTCACTGAATAATTTTTACAAACAATGAAATAATTATTACGTGTATGCAAATGTTAAGTTTTTTTTTTCTTTTTGTACGAAAACAATCGAGAAATTTTCCAGAGCGTATGAATATTCCATCTATACCCTCTGCGAGTATATCTGGTATAATTTTGTTTTGAAATATTTCAAATTGAAATTTTTCCGTAGATATATATTTATACGAATTATATATGTGAATATCAAGTGCGGGGCAAAACAATACAGTTTAATTTCACGTAGATAAAAACTTTCTTCTCAACGACGAAAACTTCTGCAATTCTGTAGCAATTATATACCATTTAAATACGTTATCACTGAAACGTACGAGGTACCTTATGTAATTGGATCGAGATATCACTCTAAAACGATTAAAAATATAAAAGGAAAACGAAGCGAAGAGAAATTGTCTACATCGTCTATTTTACATTAAAATTATAAAAATTTTAAACCGCTATAATTTCAAAGATAATAACTTATAATCGATAAACGAGCGATCAATGGAAGCATGAAACCTTGCCCTTTAAAATGCCTTTTCATTCATTCCGATACGACTTCCGGTTCCCGAGATATTATCGTGTAAAGAAAAGATAATTTTTTAATCATTTAACTCGATTAAACCCTATTAAAATTAGGAAAACTTTGAATCGCTATAACTCCAAAGATAATAACTTTTTATCGATAAATAAGGGATCGTTGGAAGCGCAAAATTTTCCCCTTTAAAACGCTTTTTTATTTATTTCGACACGACTTCCGGTTCCCGAGATATCGTCGTGTAAAGGAAAAGGAATTTTTAATCGTTTATTATCTCCGCTCTCTTACTCGGATCTTTCGTTCGCACTTCGTCTCACTGATCTATCCCAAACTGCAGACAAGAATCTTGAACACGATTCCTGGAAGAGCGTAGTACGCATTTCCAAGAAAAAAAAATAAATCGATAGGTCGCGTATCCATTCATAACTTCGACGTTATCTTAAGTACTACCGATACTTCGAGGCTTTATATCTCAAGAACCGATTGAGATATCGGGATAAAACAAAAAGCGATTTCAAGGGCATGATTTCCTCTTCCTATCTTCCGAATATATTTCTTTGATAAAAAAATTTTTAATTTCTTTCCATTTTCATTTTTACGTTGCTTGACTCTGACCCGTGATTTCAATTATTGAGCGACGATTCTTAATTTTATTCCTTATCGCATTACGTAAAGTACCTTCGTATTGATAATCTCGAAAGTAAGGCGCATAAAATGAAATTACTCGATAGTTGGCCGGGTGTACGGTACTGATGATAGGAGCATGCTTGCTGCTGGAGCCAAGCAAAGGTCACCTGTTAAATCTCTTCGTGCACGACGCCACGCCGCACGATACTATTAATCTGATAGCTTACAGTTTGCTCGGCCTCGGTTTCACCGTGTTGACAGTCGGTTTCTTTGGATGTCGCGCCGCTCTCCACGGAAGCCAGTGCATACTGGCCACCGTAAGTTATCGATAGATGTAATCTCGCCATGTAATAAGCTTACGCTCAAGCCCTACCATTACTCACTATCCCGTCCAACTTTTTATCTGTTCAGTACATGAGCATGCTCGTGGCGCTGATCGTCACGGAGCTTGTCACCGCGGCTGCCGGCGGTATAATGACATTTCGAATACTTTCCGGATTGGAGGAGCGACTGATCAGCAAATTAGCCGTTGGCTACGGCCACGAGCCGACCAGCGACATCCCTTTCAGCCACAGCCTCGACTTCGCCCAATACAAGGTATGATTGACGTGTTTAATAATAGCCATCGATTATTTATTTTAAGAGCGTTGTCCTTACGTTGCGTTGCGTATCAACGATATCGTACGATTTTATCACGATTGTGATAAAAGGTGACTCAAAAAAATGTAAAAAAAATACTCGATCCTCCAGAAAAAGGGGACGAATTACAGAATCTTCTCTTTCGTTTTACGCACGTCACACGTTCATTTAACGCAATTCCAGTTTTTAGATTCCGGAAGCGTTTATTGCTGTAAAAAAAAAAAAAAAAAAATTTCCATCGTAATTAACAAAACGTTCTCACGCCATTAAGTTCTCTCGGTATTTTGAAATTCGCGAGACCGTTTAATTGTTTAATTGTGAAAAGAAATGACGATTAACGAGCGTTTGTGTTATTTTTCGCCATTTTTGTGTTATTTTTAACGTTCGAATTTGTGTTATTTTTAACGATTGAATTTCGAAACGATGATCGAACAATTTCGAAAATAATAGGATCGTATTCTGAAGGGATCAGAAAACCGCACGATGGAAATTTTATTTCGAACAATGTTTAATAACGCGCGTCTTTCTTTCTTTTTTTTTTTTTTTCGGAAAGCACACGTCGAAAAAGTACACATCAACGATTTCATTGCAGTTTAATTGCTGCGGAATTCACGGATACGGGGATTACAATGGCACGGCATGGTGGAGGGACGCGCAAATTTCGGGGAACAGGAGGCAGGTCCCCCTCACGTGCTGCGTTTTAAAAAATACAGAGGTATGGAATTTATTGTTGTGAATGTTCGAACCGATGCAATGTACAATTTTCTAGATAAGATAATCAACAATTTTGAAACTCTTTATTTTTTTTTTTGTAATATTCTATTTCCTTAAAAAAAGTTTCAACAATTTTGAAACTCTTTACTGGGGATGAGAGATCACAGTGTGTGAAAATTTATAGGAATATTTTCTTTTTCGCAATATTCGGTTTCCTTAAACAAAATTTTAATAATTTTGAAACTGTTTATTGGAGATGAGACGTGTGGAAAATTTATAGGAATATTTTCTCTTTTGCAATGTTCGATTTTCTTAAACAAAATTTTAACAATTTTGAAACTTTTCACTGGGATGAGAGATCACAGTGTGGAAAATTTATAGGAATATTTTCTCTTTCGTAATATTCGATTTCCTTAAAAAAAGTTTTAACAATTTTGAAACTCTTTATTGGAGATGAGAAATACAAATATGTGGAAAATTTATAAAAATATTTTGGAGATTTGAACCAATGCAATTTTCTCTTTTAACGTTCGATTTTCTTAAAAGAAATTTTTAACAATTTTGAAATTTTTGTTGAAAAAAGAAATTGAAAATCGTCGCGATATTTTCTTTTTCTTGGAGAGAATTTTCGTTCAACTTGAAAAATCAATCGTTCTCGAAATATATACCGTATTGTATTTGGTTCGCAGGTGAAAAATACGGGAAGTCCAATGAGCGTCGTGTCGAGAGTATTCAACAAACATGTGAGTAATACGATTTGCATTGAAATTTATTTATTCTTGCTTTCGTTAAATCTTGATTTCCCTTGAAAAAAAGACCGAGAAACCGTGGTTGAATCCAAAGCCAAAGGATGAACTAGCCTGTCAAATAGAGGACAAAGAAGGTCACGAAGGATATAGACATCAAGAGGTAGAAGTTTATTTCCATAACTCAATCGTTTCCATTAATTGATAAACAATTTTAATAGTGTTATTTATTTTTTATTTATCTATTTTTTGAATCAAGTTGTACGACATATTTATGTAACAAAAGAATTCTTGAATTGGAAAACGATGTTTATCGATCTTACGGGGAGGTCGTTGACGGCCGAAGGATACTTATCTCTCTCGCGCTTTGCATATTTATGAGATTCTATGTATATATGTATAACGGGAAAGGATCAATTTATTGGATTGGTAAATGGAGGTTTGAATTGGAACGCTCCATTTGTCGAACGACTTACTTTTAATTAATTAAATTATGGAAATTACCGACAACCAGTTTTCCCTCTTTAAAATAGCTTTCAATTCAATTAGCTTCGTAAAATCTAAATGAAGAAGAAGAAGAAGAAGAGAAGAAAAAAAAAATAACAGCAATTCAATTCTCTTTTACATTTTAGAGGAAAAA